TTTTTTAAATGAGGAAGAGGCAGTATAATATATGAGTGGCTGTAGCTCAGGTGGCAGAGCAGGTCAGCCACTAATCAGAAGGTCGGTGGTTCGATCCCAGGCTGCCTCCTGGCTGCATGTCAAATATCCTTGGGCTAAGATACTAACCCCATGTTTGCCTGCTGGTGGTGGTCAGAGGGCCCGGTGGTAAGCGATATACAAATGCTGATATAAAATGATATACAGCAGCTCCTCTAGAAGCTCAGAAATCTGCAGTTCCTGCAACATCCACCAGAGGCAAACCGAGAGGTGAAAGGCAGCTGTAGCTGCTCGCTTCACCTGAACTGGACCTCTGGACCATGTTTGTGCTGTCGGAGCCCTTTGACCAATAATATGGCTGCTGTGAGGTCACTGTACTAAAGGCTGTGAAACTGCTGGATTTGATTGGATGTTATTTAACCGTTTCACACAGTGGTCACTACAGTTACAAGCAAACAGCCTTTGAATAGCTTTGTCAGTGTTGATGGTATACTTTCACATAAACCACTACATTGGACACTGATGTCACTCCACACCTGGCACCCACTCCAAAGGTGATGTTGTAAAAGTCTTTGAAAAGCATGTTTAAACAAAATGAAGTTTAGAAATCTTTTTCATGCCTAAATATGAATAAAAATACTTTCACCAATCCAGATTGTCATAATGCATGAAAGTGTTAATTAGCAGGTATCTTAGTCTGTGATGCTAAAACAGTACATCCACCTAATGGTTTTTAGCCAAAACAGTGCACAATTGTAGCGCCCCCTGGTGTCAGCCACTGCAACTACATTCTACGATTAAATGTAATGAAGGAATAACGTAAAACAAGTGAGATTAAATCAGTAAAACACTGATTTACATGATTAAATATACTGCTGGGATTTTGATCATCTGGTCTTAAATCTGCTGTGGAGCAACTTTTAAGAAAATTTCAGACAATTATTTTGTCAGCTTTTTAAAGGTGGATGAACCCGACTCCAGTATTTGATCAGCTTTTAATAAAACTACAACACCCCAGGAAAGGTTTTAAAAAAAAGACCACAGACACAGAGCAGTACGTTTCACTATATTTATATTATATCATTATCATTAAATTCAATGTAGTACCTGAAACTAACCACACAGGCCAGACAGACGCTGCCGTCCGGCTTCAAACACACGGTCCCAGCAAAGAGAGAAAGAGACAGAGAAAGGCACAAAGAGTTCTGAAACTGAGAAAAGGACACAGAACATGATGATGATGATGGCGATGATGATGATCAGACGAGTACACGAGCAAAGGAAAGCAGAGCGAGACTGGGTGGGCTATGACATGAGTAAATGAACCGAGCGACAGATGCAGGCAGAGGTGATGAGACGACACAGAAAGGCACAAGGAGAAAAAGTATTTCATCGACATTTGCTGCTATAATTTCAATGATGCAGGACGAGGCAGAGGAGGAGGGGGGGGCAGATTGAAAAGGGCGAGGGATCCCGCCACCTGCACAACGAGTCCTATATCGTCATCGTTCCTTTTTATCCCCAAACGTAAAAAGGCACAAACATCTGAACTGAACCACAAGATGAGTCGGAACATGAAGCGTAACAAAGACAAATGTAATACTATCACTCTGACCCTCAGGATTATTGTTTCCATCTTATCGGTGCTGAACCATCAGCTCTGAGATCAGACTCTGAGCATCGGAGAGAAAAAGCGAGAGAGAAAGAGAGAGAGACATTTAAACCGAGTGATGCTGCTGAGTGACTGAGGTAAATGTTTCCTGCCTGATCCAGACCCGACCCGCCTCCTCTCAGGCGGCGCCAAACCAAACTCTTTAAAAGTAAAACTTTACTGCTCAGGACGTTCGTCTCAAAGGTGCGACTGATTGCGCAGCACGAGGGGGGGGGCACATGATGTCACTGCACGTCGTTATTTACGACGTGCAGTGACATCATTCGAGGCCTGAACGGTCACTAGTGAGAAAAATTAATAAAACTAAATATCACTCTAAATCAGGGGTGTCAAACATAAGGCCCGGGGGCCAGGAGTGGCCCAGCAGAGTCATATCTGGCCCACTGGAGGCTTTTGGAGAAGGTGGAGGTGGTGTAGATTTGAGTTTCACAGCTTTCCCTGCTGATAATGACCGCGGCCAATCACGTCGCACCAAACTACGTGAAACTGAAATGAGAACAGCTCGGCGTCTTCAGTAACTGCTACAGAAACGCCGACGTCAGCGTCGACACGTGCACGCCGACGTCAGCGTCGACACGTGCACGCCGACGTCAGCGTCGACGTCAGCGTAACATGTAGAAAAACAGACACGCTGCTGAATGTGCGCTTTTTCCTTACATTATCATGTCGGTGTTTTTAAACATGGTTACACTTTCTTACACTGAAAGGAGTCTCACTGACCCCGCCCACTTAAAAGTCACAGTGGGCTCCACGTGGCCCGCGGTGGACGAGGAGTTTGAGCCCTCTGCTCTACAGGAATCCTGCTGTGATTCAATTAAAAATAAAAAAGTTAAGGAGTTTCCGTAGCCGTCAGCGCGCTGCTGCACAGGCCTGGGACACGTTTAAAAATTTAAATCAGTCGTGACGCTGCAGGGAAACGTTACGATTTTATTCGTCACCTCATGAATGCATCACAATGTAACGTGCGGTGAGGCGACTGTTGTGATTTGGTGCTATATAAATAATGTAATTAAATTTTGTAAATGTGCCAATTTATGGCTTTATTAAAATTTTATTAAAAGTCTCAAAAACTGCATTTAAATTTGAAAAACAAAAATCTGAGCTGCACCAAACGCCACTGATGACATCTGATGTTTTAATGCTGACGAACTCAGACTCAGCTTAAAAATGTCCGTTTAAGACTGAGGAACGTTTTTTTTAAAGACGTACGAGTCAAGAAAGTCGGACGTTAAGCTAAAAGAAAGCCATTTTAATGCTCACGAGTCCACGAGAACGATGCCGACACCACAGGCCAAACTAAACACACGTGATACTTTAAAGGAAGTGACGAGCAGCTCACCGAACATTGCCCCGCCCCCCCGTGATGAAGGTGATGATTGGTGGACTCAGTCCAACAGCAGCGAGTATCGTTACAGTCACACTGGCAATAACGACGTTTAAAATAAAAAAGTTAACGCACCGATTTGTGTCCAAAAGTGAAAATAAAACAGCCCAAAATGTGCTCAACCAAGAACTAATGAACGTAAATCTGTCATGAAGGCGTCAGCCTGCGGCGCCTCACATTCAGTCAGCGTTTTTCCTTTGATCCGATCATCACCAAACAAACATCCCGGTGCAGACGTCACCATCGTGTTGTTTTAAAGGCGTTTAGAATAAATAATAGCAGCAGCTGAACGTACCGTCAGCTCAGTGAGAGCGCCACAGTGAAACGACAACGTGCACCTCGGCGTCCTGACGACGCTAAAAAACAAAAACTGTATTTGAGGAAAAACGTGATTCCACCATTTAAACTAAGACCTGTGAAAGTGAAGCAGTGAACGTAAACAGTGGCTTTAGTGTTAACATCTGTAGTCACATGTTGTGTGGGCGGAGTTTAAGTGTTAGTGTGGGGGCTTAGAAACTGCTACCTGGCCGAGCGCGGCTGCAGAAACTACATTTATTCAACTTTCGGTTTGCTGCGGCGCCGCGATATTTCGGGTCTGGCTGCCAGAGCAGGAATCTGTAGTATGTTTGGCCTCTGGCTGGCGTGCGCCGTCCTGACAGGACCGCTGTGAGGTATCGTCGGGTCTGCTGGCGTCACAGGGCGGAGCCTGCTGCGAGGCGTACCGGCAAAACAAAACAAAGCTTATCTGGCTATAAAGAAATGTACCGCTCGTTAGTGTCGTGAAGCTGCGCTCACCCGCCTCCACGTCTCTCTCTCACATAGTGTTAGTACTTTGACTCCTCCCCCTCCTCCTCGCTAACAAAATTAAAATACTGGTTATGAATGGCTATGATGTACGCCGCCTCATCCAATCCAACGTTCACGCA